AAAGTAACTTCCCCAAATTGGCAGTTTTTGTTGTTACTGGTTAGAAAGTTCATCCTACCTCATCCTATGATGAGGTAGGCCTATGAGGCAGGCCAGAACATTAGAAATTCCTGGGAGACCTAAAGCATGTTGGAACAGGTTTATGTAAAAGTTAAGCCGAGCTGGGGAACTCTGCCACTTTGAGGAGAAAAGGAGGCTGTGCGAACAGTGACTGCCTGGGTAGGCTCTGGAATCTGCACAGGTTGGACACCACCAGGGCTGGCTGCAGCTGAAGAGGAGAGACTGCTTGCCTAGATGCTTGCCTGTCCCAGCTGCCCTCCTGAGGTCTCCGCTCACTCACCTCCTGGCCGCCCTTCAGCCCCCGCCAGACACCAGGGCTCACCTGGGCCTGAGGAGGTGCTCCCAACCACTGACGCCGTGACCCCGGCTTGCGTGGAACACGGGAGCCCCGGGAACCAGCAGGCACTTGAGGAGCGCTGACGGCAGGAGAGACCATCGCACAGCGTGGGAGAGCTAACCGGGGAGCCGCACGGCACCCCCAGCACGGACAAGACCGACGCGCAGAGTTCATAGAGGAATCAGGCAAGGACACGAACGTTACCCCAGATGTTGAAAGACTTGGTAATTGAAGAGACCCTGTTCAAGAGAAGATCAAACCATTAGCATCTAGAAATTAAAGATGCTGTGTGAGATACTCAGTAGGTAGGCTGAAATTCAAGCCCGTCTATTTTACCTGCTCTTACCTGACTCAGGGACACTTGGTCTGAGGCTTTCTGGAAGGTCGGCAGCATTGGGGAAGGTGGATTGTGGAGGACGGACCTGGAAACCCTGTGCGCCTCTGCTACAGAAGGGGTGGAGGGGAAGGATCAGGAATAAATATGGGAGACAGTTCTGCACAGCTCTCTCTAGATCGACCAAGTGCTAGTTGAGGGGTGATTAAAAACACAAGTCACAAGTTCTGGTGACATTTCTGATTGCAGGAGCAAAGAAAATTCTGAAAGCAACTCAGAAAAACCAGTCAGAATGCAGAAGGATCGATTGGCATCTGTTTTCTGTGATTTGGGAGATGGGAGACAGTGACACAGGCTCTGAGGGGAGAGAACGGTCTTGAACCTGATGTGGGGACTGAGGCGGTTCGGGGACGTGGGCCCCAGGACCGCGTTTGGAGGCGTGCGGGAGTGCGTACTTGCCTCTGAACCCCATTGGAGGCATCTGAGTCATCGCCAGGTGTGTTCAGAAAGAGAAAACATCCAGAGATGGGAATGTTACAAGAAGTAACAAAAATCCTTCTTTTCTTGTTTGTTTCTAAATAAGGTAATGTTTTTACAAAGTTACTCAGATAAGAATGAAAACAAAATTTGGAATAGCAGCCCACATTTGAGCAGTGTCAGGTGGGGTCACTATGTGCCAGGGTGTGTTTGTTTTTGTTTTAGAAATTTTCCTTCTTTTACGACGAATTTTTTGCTTGTTTTTGGTCCTGTTAGAGCTAGGAAAGGGAAAATCGAGGTTTTGATTAATTGTAGATTTTAGTAGAAGAACGTTAGCTATAAATGCAGCAGCTTACAGGTTAGAGGTAGGTTTGTAACACCAGAGCTGAGCCACGCGTGGGGCACAGAAGCCTCCGTCATCCCAGCCGCTCAGACCAAGAGAGACACGGGTGGGTGGGTCACAGACACACAGAAGGAGATGCTGGACCTCCTGGTGTCCCGTGGATGGCAGCAGGATGTCCTACTTCTGGCTCCCTTAATGAAGGCAGAGGGAAGGACCGCTGTGTTCTGGAGTAAAGGGTGCGTGAGCCGCTTTGGAGAGTGCTGCTGGCAGCTCTGAGTCCCCTGCCGCTGGACACAGCCGTGACGAGGGCCTCCTGTGCAGAAACACGGCCATGCATGGTGCCATGCTCCCTCTTCTGGAACAGCTGCGGGCCACAGCACAGCACTGCTCGTGAGTGTACAAGGGACACATAGCTGAGCTGGAACACAGCTGCTCTGGGTCTCCAGCTGCCCCTTTGTGCCCTTAAACTGGCCAAGTTAGGGTGGTTTTGAGAATCACAGTAATAGAAGATGTCTTGCTTCAGAATCTTGGATAGAAGCTTTTCTAGCTGTGGTCTTATTCTCCAAGGAGACAGAACCCGTGGTTATTATGCGTGTGAGTGTGTGTGTAGGTGTGCATGCACATGTGTGGATGGAGATTGAAGCCCAGGGAAAAGGGAAGATTGCACTTTCATATAAGAACACTTTTTTAAGTCCTTCAATTGATAGGATGAGGCCCACCCAAGTGTGGGGCCATCTGCTGGTTTCCATGTCCCGTAGAAGAGTGCCCTCACAGAAGACGCTTGGGGCCATGATTGGCCACATACCTGAGTACTGGAGCCTGGCCATGGTGATAGCCACGGTGACACTGGTGCAGCTGCAGCGTCAGTCCGTAATTTTGGTAGTGATGGTGGAGTGTTTGTGTGAACCACTGAAATGCTGCAGAGGACTGCATTCCTTCCTTGCTAGGGTTTGGGAGCCAGCCTCTGCCCTCTCTGCAGAGAGCCTGACCCCATCCACACTGTGCATCATTCGGACTTCTGCCTCCAATGTCCCAAGAAGTAGGGGATGGATCGATGGAGGAGAAACGCCGTGCTGGCAGCATTCCAGCCGTTTCCCCACACAGCGCTCCCAGGGGCTGCGGAGAGGCCTGAGGTTTGCGGTCATCGGGGTTGAGCAGTGCTCGTAGCTGCAGGGCACGGACTCAGTGGTGCATGGTACTGGCCTTTTCCTCTACACCGAGCTGCACGCTGCAGAGTCTGGGGAGGACCTGGGGCTCCTTGCCCTGAGCAGCTCTGAGTCCAGGCCTCACTCTCCTTTCTCCCCATCGAATAAGGGGCCGTCGGTCTCAAATGCTCTCTGTCCTGCTCTGCCATGCTTTGTGTCTTCTCCCCGCAGGGTAGCTCTGACTCTCGCCCCTGCAGACCGCAGCTGCATGCCCCTCTTCCCTTTTCCTCACATTTGTGTGCAATTGGAGGTGCTCCCAGCCTGCAGTCAGCCTCTGTAGAAACTCCCATGACTTCTCAGGAGGCCCCGACCAGGACGTTTCTTCCTGGGCCTTGGACCGCAGCAGAGAACCCTCGGCTCACATTTCCCTGCTGAGAACCTGAACCCCGCCGCACTCTGTTGTCTGGTGGCCCCAGCATCACTGTCATGTTCCGTTTTCCTTACATGAAATGTGTCCTTCGCTTGGATGCCCATGAGATGCTCCATTTCTGAAGTTCGTTTGTTTGACTGGAATGTTAGTGTCCGTGGTTGAAGGTCCACTTTCCCAAGGTGGCCTGTGCACATGTCTGTCTTCTATTTCAGGGAATTTTTCTTGAGTTGTGTTGGCGTCCTCCTGTTTTACAGAAGCTGGAATTCACGTCTGTCCCTGTCTCTTCATGACTGTTTTGCCCCTGCTGTCCCCTTGTCCTCTGTCCCAGGCGTGCTCCATGGTGTCTGGTAGCTGGGTTCCTCCAGTTTACTTCTCATTTCTGGGCTCTTCCGTCTCTCCTTCCTTGTCCTGGCCTCTGTTGTGTGCCTGATAGTGGGTGTGTTGTCTTTGGGCGTGCTTCCCTTTCAGTCCTGTTGTGAGGCACCTGTTTGTGAGGACGCCTGGGGCTCTCCCAACAGCGGTCCTCCCCGCCGAGCTCTGAGCCCTTCGGTGTGTGTGAGGCCTCTGTGGGGTGTCCCCATCGTCCCTTCTGAGGCCCAGCTCCTTTGTCTCCTGCAGCGCCCTACACCTGGAAAGGACTGCGTGCCCTGTCTTGCTGGGAGGCAGGTTTGCTGGGTACCTCTGAGTCTTGGTGGGGGGGGGCGCAGGGAGGGCAGACCCATGATTTCAGCTGTCCTCAAAGCGCTGCACGAAACCTTGGGACCCTTCTCCAGCCGACGTGGGAAGATTTCCTCCTGGGCCATGCCCCCTTCTTGCTGAGGTGAAGGCCTGCAGCCACCTGTCTGGCTTCGTCGGGTAGCCATGGTTTGGTGGAACCTCTGTCTCACAGAACCAGTGGGTTTACCAGATCGAGTACTTGAAATACATCCCTCTGTATACATCATAGCCTACAATAAATTGTTTTTTGTCTCAGAGTTTGTGTGTACTCCAGTCGCTCATCACTTGCGCTCGTGGTGAGGCAGCTGAGAGCTTTCTGTCCGCCGGAAGCTCTCCTGGCAGCACGGGTGGAGCCTGGCCCTCAGCTCGTATTCGCGCCAGCCCCGGCCTTGTGTGCGGACTCCCGGGGGGACCAGGATTCCTTCCCTGATCACGAGACCCACGTATAATGCTTGTCAAGAAACATCATGTGTAGATTTTTCAGTTGTTCATGATCTGGGAAGAACGTGGTTTGGTGTTGCTGCAATAATTTTTACATTACGTTAAGTATTTGTCACAAGTGCAAGTGTGTAAGATTCTGTTTTCTAGAGTACTGACGGTACAACATGGGGATGCCAGCCAGCCTGGACTCCTGGCCGGGGGCGGGGGGAGGAGGAGAAGCTCCATGTTCAGTGTCTTCTCACTCACTGATTAAGGTGGTGGGGGCTTGTCGTGTGGGTTCCCGAGTGGGTGAGATTGAACGGTTTGCCCATTTCTGTTAGACGAGGAACAGGTTCACGTGCATGTGTGCGTACTTCACGTGCTCAGCCCTTCTCTTTCTCTGATTAACTGGGATCACTGTTAGTTGACTCATTAGAGGGAACGGGAATGCTGAGAACGCAGTGCTAGTGCTCAGTATGAGGGCCAAGCTTGCCTAAGGCAGCAGTGCTCTTCTGCCCGGCACAGTGGGTGTACGGGGAGCCCTGTGGCCAGCACTCCGTGTGCACACACGGTGACCCCGAGCGCCCACCTTGAGGCGCTTGGACTGGGAGTGTGGCACCACTAGCTAGTGCAGGCCTGGGAGAACCCATAGGAGAGCATGCTAGTTAGCGTAGCGTTGGATCGAGGGGTGGGTACTTCTGAGATGATCCCTTACGTGTATATATGTGTGAATGCAGAAAACATCGGAGCAGTGTGGGGCCGAGCAAACCTGTTTCCCAGCCCCGGCGGAACATCGTAGGCTGCAGGATTCAGCATGGGTGGAAGGAGGGGAATGGCCCTGTCACCCAGTGGAAAGGAACCGTTCTGGACCAGGTGCCTGTAAATCCTTCTTTGTATCTTATAAAATACGATGGATTTGACTGTGTTTATGGACTAGAACTTAATAAAGATGAAAGAGTTTCTGCGCTCGAAGTCCTCCCTGATAGAGTTGGTAAGTTCTCTTTACTATTTGTGCGTTGTATGCTTTAAAAATGATTATCGAAATGGATGCTTTTTGATGATTCTTTGCATTATTGGTATTTTTATTTCTGCTGGAGTGCAAGCACTCCCGATACACAGTTAAGTCTCTCAAACCACGGTTTGAGGGACTGGGAAGGATATAAAGATGTATGAAGTTATTGCTGAAGAAACTGACAATCTGATAATTTCTAACATGGTTATTTCCCACATTTTGCTCACTGTTCATGTGGACTCTGATGGGTAAGAATATTTTCTTATTAGCTCAAATGTGCTGTGTACTTATTCCGATTATAGTAGCTTATGCCTTTATTTTAGAATCCTTATGTGAAGTGTATCTCAGCGTGTGTATTACTGCGTATGTGATACTGCACTTTCAGCCCTAATTCGGGCCGCCAGAACCCATGGGCTTGCTCACGCAGTCTTTAGAGTTGTTTGCACAGTGACAGGGGAAGTGAGCACCCCCTTTCTTTCTTTAAGTGTCATCCAAATGTGCTTCACTTTCATAACCTAGTTCCTTAAGGCGTAAGTTGTCAGTTAATAATAGTAATGACTGATTTTACCTTTAAGAGTAAAGTAAAATGTTACCATTGTGGTCAGTAGGCTGCATCACCTTCTTCAGCGTGTTCACTCGGAGATGTTTTCAGACGGCTGTGCTGCTCGTGCTTGAGCGCTGGTTTATACTCTGGGGATGGTCTTTAGAAGCCTCCGTGTTAACAGACGCAGTTCTGGCAGAGGTGGACTTGGCGGGTGGAAGCGTGGGGTCGGATAGTCGGTGCCCTTTGTTTCTGCTGCTGTGCTCTTGGGACCCAGGTGCCTCCCGCCATGCTGATGCTCTGCCAGAGCAGCAGGTCCTTTGTTGGGGTTCCCTGTGGGTAGCGAGGCTGTGTCTGTCTTCGTCCTGTTTAAATGCAGGTGTTCTCCCAGAAAGCTTGCTTTCCATCGTTTTTACCCATTCTCTGCCAGCTGTCACAGCATACCTGTCCTTTGGACCACTGCACCCCTCTCTCTTCCTCCTGAGACACAGCCTCGGTTTCTTCTTGGTCTTGACGTTTGCCCGTTTCCAGCGTGAGAAACGCACGTGGAGGAGTCTTAGCCTGAAGGTCTTAAAAAAGGTCTAAACTCTCATCTCCATTGTTCGTAGGAAGTAATTGTCATGTGTTCTTCTGACCCAGAGGTTTGGTCTGCATCTCTCCTGGGGTGAGACTGTCCGCTCCCGTGAGATTTACTCCATTTTGCTGCGTGGCCTGTGCCCATTCTCCTGAGTTCTTCTGCCATCGTAGGGCAGGAAAAAACCTTTTATTTTGGTTTGACCAAAATACCCCAGAACCTGTAAGTATCTCTGCTGATGGGCTTCAGAGTTGTCCAGTGTTTTTCTTAGAAGTTCTCAGCAGGAGACGGGTTGCTTTTGTAAACAGAGCATTTTAAAAAGGAAATCCAAGGGCTTCTCTGCAGACCAGCAGTGTCTCGTACACTGACTTCATGTAATAGCTAATCGTGGTGCTCCCTGCGGCCCCGCAGTCTGGGAGCCGCGTGGCCTTCACTCACGTCCCACGCAGGAAGGCAGTGGCTCGCGATGTGCGTCACTCAGCACATGCGGGGTCTTCGGTGTGGGATCGCGTGTCGGTAAAGGATCCACTTGAAGACTGACCGACTGTTCATTTTGGTGGAAAGAAAACTGTGACCTGAAGTGTCCTGCCTTGACCGTTGTGCAGTGTCGGTAATTCTGCTGGCGTGGAGTGCGTGCGCACTGTTGCGGAGCGCGTCTCCACATCCCTTCATCTTGTCAGGCTGCAGCTCTGTCCCCAGTGGACGGCAGCTCCCCGGCCCCCGCCCCGCCGCATCTGCCCTCCGCTTTCGCCACGTCGGTCACCTTCAGACCCCTCAGCAGGACCGAGACCGTTTGTCTTTCTGTGACCGGCTTCTTCCTCAGCACGGTGTGCTGGGGGTTCGCCCGGTCTAGCCGGGGGCCGTGTCTCCTTCCCTGCAAGGCCGCGTGACACTGCACTGCACTTGTGCGCCCCCTTCCAGGTGCCCCTGCCTCTGTGGATGGACGCCTGGGCCGTGCCCGCCGCAGGGCTGCTGCGGGCGGTCAGGTGCCTCTTCGGCCGCTGCTTTCCTTTCCCCGGAGGATTGTCCCGGCAGTGGAATTCCGTGTTTGCCTGAGGAGACCGCGCTCTGTTCTCCACACGTCGGCGGCAGTTTGGTTTCCAGCCGCAGGCACAGGCTCGGGTTCGTCTGCCGTCGCGCTGGCCTCTGTCCTTCACTCTGGCTTTGGATTTGCGTTTCCCTGACGATGAGTGATGTCGGGCACCTTCTCTCCCGCGTTGCAGCCGCTTGTCTGCCATCTGTGCCGAAGTGCCTGTTTGGGCCCTTCGCCCGTGTTGGGGCCCGGTTATTCCATTTGTTTGGCCGCTGAGTTGTAGGTGTTCTCTGCGCGTTTGGGAGAGACTGAGTGAACGTGCCGGTGTGACGGGCCCGCGGGGACGGGTCGCGGGTTCTGCGCTGCGCGTCCGCGTCCGCGTCGGAGCTGCCGCTTGTGTGTCCTGTGGCGTCACACGGGAGCGTCTCCGTTTCCTGAAAACACTGACAAGGAGACGCGCCTTTGCAGCAGCAGGGGCCTGTAGGCTGGATTTTGTGCGCCTGCCAGGACAGCGCGCGACAGGTCGGATGCGGACGCAGGCGGAGAACCGGCCCGTCTTCGGGAAGCCGGCCCGCAGGAGCTGACAGTCGCCGAGCCCCACCGCCCCGTGCTGCCTGTTTGCTAGGAAGTGTGTTTTTCGTGAGAGATCCGTTGTGTAGCATTGTCAGTTATGACCTCTAACACGGCAGTCTCGTAGTTGTTCATGCGAAGAAAGGCACTTTCAGATCCTCAGAAATGTTTAAGCGTCATGTACGGGAGTCCAGAGATTGACAAGTTTGAGAACTTCGAAACCAGTAGGCTTTACTTCAGTGTGCAGTGGGGGGTTTTATGTAGTTTAGAATTAGTGCATGTGGAAGTAGAGAGAGCCAGCGGATGTGTTTAGAGTGTCTTTCTGATCAAATTGGGTAACGGTATCTTTAAAAAGAAACTATAATCTGTATTCCTTTGAATTTTATTTTAACAGAGATAGACGCACTTGTGAATGAGTAAAACAGAAGTGCTAATTGTTTTTAAAGACAGTTGTCTAAAACGTGAGGACCAGAGAAACCTTAAAATCATTAGGATTCTCTGTAATTTCCCAGTGGTGATAAAAGGAAGGTTGTGATTTTCTGCCTGCCTCTTAAAAGACTGCAGAGCAGGGCTGAGGGTTAGTCTGTAGGGCAGGTGTGGACGCCCTGTGATCTCAGGGTTGGGAGACAGACGGGAAGGGTCCTCCTTTCGTCATGGTGTCTGCACGTGGTGGCAGATGTCATTAGGGAATACAGTGGGAGGAGGCGACAGTGGCTGGTGGTCCCGCAGACGGGGGAGCCTGGTAGGGAGAGGGGAGAGGCCCGTGGGGGCAGGGACAGGCAAGGCGGGGAGGCCGGCAGGCCCAGGGAAGCAGTTTGTTTTTCACATGACCCAGCGGAGGCGCTGGGCGTTTCATGCCAGGGCTCCGGCTGTGTGACCACCACGAGGCGTGGTCTGGCCGCTGTTGAAAACACAGTGGATGCGAGGGTAACCTCTCGGGCCTGGCGTGAGTGCATTTCTTAGTTTTCATCCCTGGCCTGTGATTACGTAGGTGTTAATAGAGGGAAGGTGAGTGAGGCTGCGTGGGAACGCTCCTATTTGGCGTTTCTGCCCTAAGGCTGTCCTTCCCGCAACGTAGAAAGTAACTGTTAATACCAGAACGCACGCTGTGCCTCCAGCAAACCGCGGAGGTTCCAATTTAGACACAATACCAAGGACAGGAGTTGAGGAAAACGCACAGAAGAATGGCAGGTTCTCATGGGATCCCGTAGACTGGGGCCCGCAGGGCTTGGCATCGTGCGGCCCCTGAGGCCTGCTGGTGGCCCTGGGGCCGCTGGTGTGGCACGTGGTCAGCCCTTCAAGCCTCCCCCTTGCGTGAGCTCAGCCTTCACGGTGTGTGTCCAGTAAAACCCTGTGTGAACCGTTGTTTGCTTCTCGTCCCCAGCGACCTCTCGGATCAGCGATGCGCACCTGGCCGACACGATGATCGGCAAGGCGGTGGAGCACATGTTTGAGACGGAGGACGGCTCCAAGGACGAGTGGAGGGGGATGGTCCTGGCACGCGCCCCCATCATGAACACGTGGTTCTACATCACTTACGAGAAGGACCCCGTCTTGTACATGTACCAGCTTTTAGACGATTATAAAGAAGGCGACCTTCGCATTATGCCTGATTCTAGTAAGTGCCTTGATAGCCTTTGTTCCTGTTAATTTCAGAGGAACTTGAAGGTTAGAACGAGATGTTTGATGAGCTGTTTTGTAGTTGTATCTTGTTTATTTTGATTACTGCGGTTGAATGATCATTCTTTTCACCATGCACCAAGCATGCGTTGTGAAACTTCACACCGTTTGCCGAGTGCGATGTGTTTTTCGTGCAGTTGCTCTGTGTCAGGCGGCGGATTTGCACGTGGACGAGTATAGTGGGCCCCATGTGTGTGGTGTCCTTACGCAGCTCAGCGTTTTCAAGGCTCGTCGTGTTGTGACGAGTGTCAGTGCTTCATCTCTGCACGCCACATGCAGCGGCCCTGCGCGCACGCGTGTCACCCGTCGCGGGTGGCGTGTGGCTTGTCTGCCTCTCGTTGATGGTGAAGGACTCTGCGGTCAGCCCTTGGGTGCGGGTTTCTGAGCAGATGTTTTCAGTTCTCTTGAGTGCGTACTGAGGAGTGGGATTGATGGGTCTGTGGTCACTGTTGAATCACCCTTCTCCGTGCACATCAGCTGCGTGTGGGTTCTGACGCATACACAGCCTGTTAACCGATGTTTTCACTGTGTCCTTGTGGTTGCGGAATGCTACCGTGTCGTGGTCTTGGTTTACCTTCCCCTGATCACTCAAGATGTCAGGTATCTTTTTGTGTGTTATTGGCCGTTTCTGTGTCTTCTTTTTTTTTCTTTCTTTTTTTAGATTTTATTTATCTATTTGAGAGGTGGAGAGAGAACACAGAGGGAGAAGCAGGCTCGCCACTGAGCAGGGAGCCTGACGTGGGGCTCAACCCCAGGGCCCTGAGATCACGATCCGAGCCAAAGGCAGAAGCTTCACCGACTGAGCCACCCAGATGCTCCCCGTTTCTGTGTCTTTTTCGGAGAGAAGTCTGTTGGTGTTGTCTGCCTGTTTCCCAGTTGGGCCCCTGTTCTGTTGCGGCATCAGAGTCTGGATCTTGATGAGGGTCTCTGGACCCATGTAGGATTTGCAGACACTTTCTTTTATTCTGTGGGTTTCTGTTCACTTTCTTGGTGCTCGTTGAAGCACAGAAGTTTTTAATTGTGATGAAGTCCAGTGTTTTCTTTCGGAGCTCATGCTTCTGGTGGTGTGTCCAAGGTCATGACGATTTACCCTTTTGTTTTCTTTGGCAAGTTTTACAGGTCTTGCTCTTACATTTAGATCTTTGATACATGTTGAGTTCATTTTTATGATGTGGTGGAAGGGTCCCCCTTCGTTCTTGTGCATGTTGTCTGAGCACCACGTTGTGGAAAGATCTCCTTTCCCTGCCGTCTGGTTTTGGTGCTGGCGGTGAAAGGGAGCTGGCTGCAGATGGACGGCTGTGCTCCTCTCTGCTGGGCGTGTGCCATTCTCGGTCACGTGGCTCTCAAGTAAGTTTTGATATTGAGAGGTGCCGAGTCCTACTTTTTCCTCTCTCAGAATTGTTTTGACTCTTCTGGGTCCCTGGCAGTATCCTGAGTTTTGGAATCCGTTTGTCAGTTTCTGCAAGGAGGTCAGCTGGGATTCTGATGGGGATTGTCTTGAATCTCTGATTGCCTTGACGTTGTGAAGCCTTCTGACCCAGGAGCCCAGGATAGTTTCCCATTTATTGAGAATTAAAGATCTTCATCAGTAGTATCTTGTAGTTTGCAGCGTATTAGTGTTACACTTTTTTAAGTTTATTCCTAAATACTTTGCTCCTTTTTTTTTTTTTTTAGATTTTATTTATTGATTTGTCAGATCGAGAGAGAGAGAGAGAGAGAGAGAGAGCAAGCACAAGCAGGCAGAGCTGCACGCAGAGGCAGAGAGAGAAGCAGGCTGAATAAGGAGCCCCGTGTGGGACTTGATCCCAGCACCCTGGGATCATGACCTGAGCTGAAGGCAGTGGCTTAAGTGACTGAGCCACTCAGGCGCCCCTACTTTGCTCTTTTTGATGTGGTTGTGAATGAAATTATTTTCTTAGTTTCATTTTTGGGTAAACCTATTCTTTTTTAAACTACTCCATAGCCTTTCCTCCAGCACGGGGTTCCCTGGGCCTGTACAGAGTGACCAAGGTCTGTGATAGCACATTTCGGGTTCTTCTGTCGACAAGTCTGTGAACCTTCTTTCGAGGTGCTCTTCCAGCCCTGACTCTCCACCTTCTTTGTCTTTGGCTTTGTGTACTTTCATCCTAAATCTGTAAAGGGATGTATTTATGGGCAGGAATTTAATTATCAGGAGTGTTGTTTGTATGAAGTTGATTTTTAGCCCCCCCCCCTTTTTTAAGATTTTATTTATTTGACAGACAGAGATCACAAGTAGGCAGAGAGGCAGGCAGAGAGAGAGGGGGAAGCAGGCTCCCCGCTGAGCAGAGAGCCCGATGCGGGGCTCGATCCCAGGACCCTGGGATCATGACCTCAGCCGAAGGCACAGGCTTTAACCCACTGAGCCACCCAGGTGCCCCTAGTTTTTTAGCTTTTTTGTAGAGAAAGATCCACAGTTAGAACTGTTACCTTGCTGTGTGAAAGCGTAGGGGCATTGGGGCCATCTGGGCTGTCCGCAGACTCTCCCAGTGCCCCTTTGGCCCTCTTTAGCCCCTCCTTAGCCCCTGCTCCGTCCCCGCTTGGCCCCCCTTGGCCTCCCATTACCCCTTCCTCAGCCGCTCAGCCTCCTGCCCCACCCGCCAGCTGGTTTTGCGCGTGTGGAAGTGCAGCTGCCACCAGTGATGTCCTGGAGCCGGGCGCTTGCAGCGGCATTTTGGCTCAGTCGCGGGGAGAGGCCCGGCTGTCGTGGCTTTGGAACGCTCTGTAAGCGTGCAGCACCCTGAGGGCGTGGGGGGCTGGCGCCGCTGCCGAGGAAAGAGCAGTTTTTTTTTTTTTTTTTTTTTTTAAAGATTTTATTTTATTTATTTGTCAGAGAGAGAGAGGGAGAGCGAGTGAGCACAGGCAGACAGAATGGCAGGCAGAGGCAGAGGGAGAAGCAGGCTCCCTGACGAGCAAGGAGCCCGATGTGGGACTCGATCCCAGGACGCCGGGATCGTGACCTGAGCCGAAGGCAGCTGCTCAACCAACTGAGCCACCCAGGCGTCCCAGAGGAAAGAGCAGTTTTGAAGAGAGGACGTGAGCTTTGGGCTCGGCATCGCTTCCCTGCTCGGAGGAGCTGAGGACCGCGGGACTCGGGCTGGCGGCTGGCGTCATGTGTGGTGTCTGCACCAGCGGTCAGACTAGCCCGGTAGGGCCGTGTCCGCAGGTGAAGGACAGATGTGCTCGGGACGCAGCAGGCTGTGTGTGAGGCTGGGGTGGGGGCGATGTGCCAGCAGCGAGAGCACAGGCAGCCTGGGGTACGCGCGGGGTGCAGTGCCCCCCGAGGGCATCTGGAAGCCCTCTCTTGCTCCTTGCAAAATGGCTCGCCCCACGCAGGACCTGCAGGGGTTTCTGAAGAGAGGGTGGTAGCCTCCCGGCCCCATCCCCTGCCCCTTGGGTCTTTGCTGCTGGAGGTTTGCTCTGGTGTCTGTGCTCTGAGAACACCGCATAGCCCTGCTGGCTCAGGGCACGATTCTCCAGCACACGGGCTTTGCTGCAGACCAGTGCCGTCCTGGAGGTCCCGTCATGATTAGTCTGGGCAGGGGTTCGCTCAGTACCTATCTCCAGAGCCTGGGAAATCTTACCCGAGAGCTTGGGTAGGAGGACCATGTGAGTGAGATGCAGCGAACGTGGGGAGAAGGAAGCTTTGAGGAGTTCCAGGAAGAAGACCAGGGATGTGTTGAAGTGAATGGCATACTCACAGTGTCCCAGGAGGTATTGTCTGTTTTGAAGGCCTGTTTGAGGGTCACTGCGGCTTTTGCGAAGTTTTGTGCATCCAGGCTTTTCCCCGGCCTTTCCTTGCCTCACCCCCTCAGCCGGTCTCAGCTGTAATTAAGTACAAGCCACAGGGATTTCTGGTTATGATATTTCAAAATTCTTGACATGTCTACATCCTGAGGGGGTGGGGAACAGCACACTGTTTCTGTAAGTAAAGTTTAATTGGCACACTTTTCGGTTTTGTGCCCCTCGCAGCTATTCTCACAGGACTAACAGGGCTGAGCAGTTGGTGGGTGCAGAGACCTATGTCCTCAAGCCTCTGGCCCTCGAAGAAAAAGTGGGCCGACTCTTGCTCTAGATAATTAGGATGAATCCAGATGTTACGTTTTTAAACACTATTACTGAAATAGACACGTGAGTTGGTACTTACGTCAAAATTGACTTTGAATTCTTCCTTCCGCCCTCTTCCACGCAGACGATTCTCCTCCAGCAGAAAGGGAGCCGGGAGAAGTTGTGGACAGCCTGGTGGGCAAACAGGTGGAGTATGCCAAAGAGGACGGCTCTAAGAGGACTGGCATGGTCATTCACCAGGTGGAGGCCAAACCGTCGGTCTATTTCATCAAGTTTGATGACGATTTCCACATTTACGTCTACGATTTGGTGAAAACATCCTAGATGTCATCATGGACTTGGCCAAATTTGTGGAACTATTAAATGTATAATTTGTAGACATAAAGACTTGATTGCTTTCCAGTTTAATGAAAGCTTAAATGTCCCTGCGAACCCACAATCTCTGCCAGCAGAACCGGTTTGTTCTGAATAGTACAGATTGATGTGAACACAGAGCATTTTGTGTAAGAACTCCTTCCTCTTACGAGAAGTCTGTGTGTCTGGAGGGGAGTTACCGGCAAGTTTGGTGAAGTTAAGATAGCACCGCGGTCGTGTAAACTGGACTGGACCGCCCCAGCTCCCCAGCACCGTGGTTCTCCCCACCTGCCGCCACGCCGCAAGCATGGTCTGGCGCTGTCGGTCCTGCCTTCTTCGCTGAGACGCGTATGGACCTCTCCCCGTCCGCATCTGTGTGTGTCCGTACGCGCGCTACACACACACACACACACACACACATGCACACGCACACGCACACGCACACACGCTTCCTTGGCAGTCCTTTCCTTGTGGATTGGGGCGGGGGTTCAATAATATTCTCCAGTTTAACAGGAGTGCTTGTCCTAAGTCAGTCCGATTTCGTATATTACTGCTGTTTATTTAAAAGTAAATGTGGGCACAGGAGACACAGGGACGTTCAGCGTGTTTTGGAAGTCAGAAGTTCAGACGCCTTTTCAGTCTGGAGGCTTTAAACCACGAGTCCAAATAGGAATCATTGTGAACAGTTGCTGGACCCACATTAGAATTTGACAAAACAGAAAGCTGGGTAAAAAGCTGCCTTTAGTTTCTAAGCTTTGTAAAATTTTGTTTACATTTTTTATCATAAATACTTTTTTTGTTTTAAAGCAAAGCCCAGGTACTTGGTCCACACGGTGTGATGCCGGGGTGCTTGGGACGGCACAGCCTGGTCTGTTAGTCTGTACGATCAGCAGTCTGGATTCTAGTGCGTGATTTGAGAGGCAACAGTGCGCCAGTGGTTGGCGTGCATGTGGTAAGTTCCTGGCAGAACCTAGTGCTTTGATCCGAGAAATACAAGTTTGAGGGTGGTGGTGTGGCCTTCTGACAAGTTCTCTGGGACACTTTTATTTTTATTACTGTTCTTACTGATAACGTGGTTGTGGTCAGAAGGCTTCCCCCGGCTTTTCCCCACAGAGAGTATGTAGACATGTAACGGCCTGGGTCCCCTGACGCTTTCTGTGGTGCTGAGCGCTCTTGGCTCCCGGTGTTCTGCTGACGTGGACTCTCCTGTCATCGTGCTAGCCTGTGGGTGTGACTGTGGCCCTCAGCCTCACAGCCCTTTTGTGGCTTGTTCCTGCAAGGTGGTTTTGACCGAAGTAGAATCACAGAAGTGGTTGGGTGGCAGCGACATGGTCATCTGTCATGTTGTTTCAGATGAGCCCTGACGGTCCGAAAGCCAGCAGAGAGGCAGTACGGAAGGCAGGGTCTTGCGGAGGCTGGAGACTTACCTGAGGTTCGGGCAGAAGGCTAAATGCACGTGTTGCCAGCCAACTACCAGCAGTCCGTGCAGCCTCTGTCGTGGCTGTTCTCAGTATTGGAGATTCTGTTGTTGGTGGCCTTACTGCGCGTGATCCGTGTGGTGCCGCTTTGCCTTCGGAAGGCTGCGCATTGTCATGCTGTTGGACGGTGACCCCCGCGCTCTAGAGTGCAATGCCTCCCCTCGGGCCGCGGGGGGAGCTTGTCTGCCTCTGCGCCTCTCCCTGCGGTGCCTGCCTGGTCTCACACTTCTCTGGCTTCAGCAGGGGTCGTGCTGCATGACTCTCTGTCACCTTTTTCCCAGTGGCTCTGGTCAGGAGTCCCTGTGTGCCAGTCTTCAGGCTGAGTCCGCTCCCCGAGCACAGGCAGACACGTGTGCCCTGAGAGTAGGGCGTCCGGTGTGTGCACTGTGTGAACATGGTACAGTGGCTTTGGACTGAAAACCAGTGTTCTTTGGAGTATCCTGAGGGCTGCGTCAGTGGCGACCTTCCCAGCGTCACTTGATGACGTGCATTGTGGTTTTCCTGCGAGTACCTTTAGCACCTTCGATACTACATGGTCTGCCACTCTCCTGACGAACGTGTCACGTGATGATCACCATTAGTTTCATCATTTCCATTTGTTGCCTTTAGGGCGGAAGGAAGGGGAAGGGGTTTTTTGTTGTTTTCCTCCCCCCCCCTCATTCTCTTTTCTTTTGGTGGCTTAACCCACACTTGCGCGGTGACTGATTCCACTCCCTCGCCCGGTACTTCAGGCTTCGTTCTAGGCTCACGTTTCAGATCTGCATGCATTGCTTGCCTTTTCCTGGTATCAGAATGTTGGCTCCTTGTTGTAGGAGCCCGACATGAGTTTCCAAAATTATCATGGGACTTGTGACTGCACAAGCCCTGAACCTGTATAAAATGTCCTGGCCTTCCTCACTGACCTGCTATCGTGTTCCCGTTTCGTGTGCGTGTGACGTCCGGCTGCCACGTGAAGCTTCCGAGGAGAACCTTAAATGCAGACCATCCTTTTTTGCATGCTCTATTCTAAGTAGAATGTTCAATGTAACTAACTGAACTTGCATGTGGAAGATATTTAGGTTTTTTTGTTTTCTATCTTTGTTTTGATTTGTTTTCTGTTTTCTGTATATTTGCTTCCTGTGCCGTTGTAGTGGTCGTAGGATGAGAATGCACTGGCGAGCCAGCGCCAGCAGAAGGTGATTTCCCAGCTCTGTCTGTCGTGCAGCATTTGAAGGGACTGTGCATTCTCGAAGCGCCCAGTCACCTCTCAGCCAGAGTTCATTCCTATTCTTGTTTTACGTGCCAAACCCTGCAGTGCATTGGGCTCGAATCTCTGAACCCTGTGGACCCATTAGAAGACTGTTCTGATTGTCACAAATTGTAGTGCCTGAAGACATGCGCAAGCTGATTGTCTTAAAAAAAGAAAAAAAAAAAAGAAAAAAGTTCTCCAAAGACAAAATAAGAACAATTATTATAACAAAATAATTATGGTCAAAATGTCTGTGGTTCCTTGGAAATGCTGCGCTTTTTGTATTTCCACCATTAGTGCGGTGTGAGCGGGTGTGCATAGTTCAGAGGTCTTCGTGTTCGCATCTTACGATTAGGTAAATGACCTCATCTTTCAGGCTTGAATTCATTTTTAATTTTATTTTATACAATGTGTAGACAGTTCCCTGTTCTCTGCATTTAGAAGTATAAACAATATAAATCTGTTAATTCTGTAAGTAATTTTTATAATTATGATGTAACTCTATCCTATCCTTAAAACATTTAAAATAAACCCTTTATGTGCAACTTCTGACTGTAAATTTTGTGCTCATGAGCAAAATGTGATGTGTTAAACCTGCTTCTGGAAACATTTTTAAAGTTTGACTTTAACATTTTAAGTAACCTTTTACTCTCTCCACCACATGTGAACCATCCGATGCGTGCGGGAATGGAAGGAGGTCCAACTGCTCGCATGTGATAACACTTGGTTGTCCCGAGGGGAGAGGGGCAGTGAGCAGGAGTCAAAATACTCAAGTTTGTGGATTCCTTATAAGGAGGAAATTTATCATAAAATTTTAAACTTGATTATTTTAAATAGAATTAAATAATGTGTATTTTTTATTTTCATATCTACTTTTTGCTTTATATACTGTCTGTAACGCTCTGTACTTGAGTACCGCCAGCGAGAGTGTAGGGGGAAGATCTCCATTGCCCGGTGGTGGGACGAGGAAGCAAAGGTCACGCCGTTGACAGGTGCGTGTTCTGTGCTTTATCTTCGTGGGTAATTTTTAATTTTAACAAGTCAGGTAAAAAGTAGATTCAGGATGTGCCTTCAATTAGATTTGTTTTTGTGTTTCCCTGTTGATCTGGGCCTGTAGATCCCATGGTTAAGGCTGGGGCAGTGTGGAGGCGCAGGCAGGTGTGGGAAAGGGACGCCCGGTCTCATGCCTTCCCGACAGTGCACCAGCCCTCGTGCCACCACCGGTGCAGCTCTTGAAGCGTGTTCCCTGGAACCGACAGCAGGTTTCGTGGGAGGGTTGGCGGTCCCTGGCCGCTGTCTGTAGGCCGGTGACTGGGTCTGTTGGGAGCAGTCCCTGCTTGGAGAATGGTGGGTGGGCCTGCCCGTTTGATCGTCGGCATGGCCACAGCACTGGTGGTGCGTCAAGGGTGGCAGGTGTTGCGCAGCCCTCGGCTGTCGTCACGTGAGACCCCTGGTCGCAGGAGGCGCAGCTTTCATCCGTGGCGCGCCTGAGGGAGGCGTGGGGGCGTGTGGGGTCCAGGATGACAGTGGCCTTGGTGCGGTCTGGAGAGCCCACAGCCCAGCGTAACCTTCCATCCCAAGTCGCTGGCAAAATGTGTGTTGTCTCAGCTTCCAGTTACACGGAGGAAATAGGCATTTCCGTCCCGGGACTGGGGGAACTGTTAAACCTGTCTCCTTATGCCCCCAGTACACGGTCTCCCTCCTGATGTCTTGCAGTTGGTTCGTCCTCTGCCCTGTGTCTGTAAGCACTCGGGCCGCCAAGCCCCAGAATACTAGGGGAGTCTTTGCGTTATTCTGCGGGTGCTCTCAGTTTGTCTGCACCGCAGAGTCCTCCAGCTCTGTGAGCCCGTGGCGGATGACTTTAGGGTTACTGTCTGCACATCGCTCTGCCTAAAAATGACCCTGCATTCTTCCTGCGTAGTTCTTTCTTTAGGACGCTGGGCCAGGGGGGCACGTTGACCCCAGCTAGCCCAGGCGACGGCGACACTGACAGGCGGGCCCTGGCTGGCCTTTCATTTCGGCGCTGGCCGTTGGTGTTGGGTGAGCGGGCTACCGTCTGCCGGGTGGGCGCGTCCCTGCACGCCTCACCTCCGTGCTCTGGGCTTGGGTGTTCAGGGAACTACCCAGGACCCTTCCCAGGATCGCGTGCATATAACTTCGAGACTCTGACTCAGTGCCGGAGCAGCTGCGGCAGATGCCACCTGAGCAGGACCGACAGACTGTGGTGCTGACCTAGAGCTGGCGACTTCAGATTGAAATTCTGGAGTCTGTGTGGACTTGGGGGCAGATGGCAAAGTAGCGTTAGAGCTTTGCCTCGACTTTGTGCCTCCGGGTGTGTAAGCGACTGGCAGCTGCTGCCCAGGCACCCTGTGGGCGTGCGTGCGACAGGCGGTCGGCGTCCTCTCCAGGGAGTTGAGGGGGGCTTTGGTCCCAGAAGTGGGTCTCTCCTGGGGGCCGCACGGGTGTGCGGGCGTGCGTGTGGCAGGCATTGGGGACCTTATTAGCAGAATGTTGCTCGGGCTAAGGTCAGCTGTGTTCAAGCCCTTGGTTGCGTCCTCTCCAGAGTGGCCCTGCGGGGAGGCAGTCGGGCGCTGAGAAATGCGTATTAGGGGACAGAGCCCACAGCCTGCGTCCTCCTGCAGCTGGAGGGGAGGGTCACGTCCTCACTCGGGGGCCTGACCCCTGTTACCCGAGGTCCGTCTGCTGGACTCTCACATGTTCACAAAACGGACCTGTCCTCACCAGCCTTCTGTGTTACTTCGTAATTCCAGTTTTCACTAAGGGTCGTTATCTGATTGATGAGGCCCGTGGGAAGCCACCAGGGGCGTGTTTGTGCAAGCACTCTGCATGCCACACGTGTGAGGTCGTGTTGCAGCAGCAGCGAGCACAGGACGGGATGGGGTTGTTCACATAGCAGCTGCTCTCCCGGTGCTGGAGGCTGGAGGTCGATTTGCAGACAGGGCAGGGCTGGCGCTCCCCAAGGCCTCTCCTTGCTATCTAGATGGCCGTGCTCCCTGTGTCCTCACGCAGTTGTCCCTCTGCGTGTAGTTGTGTCCTGATCTCTGCGTCTAAGGACGCAGCTGCATCGGGTCAGGTTCCTCCTGTACAATTTCATTTAACCTTAGTAACCTCCTCAGAGGCCCTTTCTCTGAATGCAGTCCCATTCTGAGGTCCTGGGGGTATAATCTGGGGGACACATGCAGCCCACAACCCATGTTAAAAGTTAGGTGGGCTTGCTTACTGTTAACACTGTCAAAGAAATCTTACTGGCAGGGCATTATTTTTGACAGACTATTTTTAAGGTGGTGACTAAGTTTCTGGCATGAAAGGGGTGGGTAAGTTTCATGCACTGAAAAGTGTGAAGTCGTGGAATTCTAGGTGCGGTTGCTGCTTCTCCCAGCACTCATGGGCAGATCAGCTTTACCCTGCTCTCACTGTGCACCGGGAGAGCCCTGCCCGGCTCCCTGAAGTCACGCTTGTGTCCAGCACAGGGCAGACTTGAGCCTGGCGCAGAGGCCACATGCCACCATGCGCAGGGCCTGCCTGACAGGGTTGTGTGGTCCTGGGGGCCTTGCCGTGTCCCGCTCCCCGTTCTTAACTTCAGCTCCCGTGTCCTGCATCCTGGGACATCGGCAGGAAGGTTCTCGTGGGTCCTTCTCCTGAACACTAGGGTCCACGTACATCGTCGCCATAAAGATTGTGGAGGTGTTGGCGAGCTGTTGCTCAGTCTGTTTGATCCTGACTGAGGAGAGTGTGAACCCAGCCTTTGTGCATAAAGGTGCACACACGAGTCTTGTGTGTGTTTCCACATTGTCACAGAGCCCGGAATGCCAAGCTGCCTTCTCACCGTTTCAAGAGACGTGGTGCTGGAGGCCTCAGCATCCGCTGGTGGCCTGATCAGTTGTTAGTTAAAAAGCAGGTCTTAGTCCAGAGCCTGTGGCTTCCACACGGAGAGGCATTCTTCAGAACGCGTGCGCTTCTAGTCTGTTTGGTAACTGTGGGTACACGAACACTTTCACAAGCTCCCTGGCACCTGGAACAAAATGGGGGTATTTGTCCTTGAAGTTCTCCATCCTTCAGTGGTGAGCTTTGCAGTGGTGCCGTGCAAGATTGCAGATAACACACATGCGTGCGATGTGGCCGCTCCTCAGAGCGCTGACCTCTGAGAGGAGGTCACCCAGGAAACCCTCCTCAGCTTCGTGGTCACCTGTTGGTGTGGTTACACAGTGGCTGTGATCTGGGGACTGCAGGAATTGTGCCGTGTGGCAGGTAGATTCCGGGGGAGCAGGGTCGCCAGACCCAAGAAAACCAGCGTGGCAGGGTTTGGTGTCTGGTCTCCATTTTCTGGAAACGTCTCTGTCTCTCATTGCAGGATTTGCTTTAACCTCTCTGAACTTCTAATTTGTTTTTCTAGAATAACATGTTTCCTGTTTTTTTAAAGCACTTAGGAGAGACAAGTGGCGTTTACGACAGTGGCTTGGTAAGTGGCCGTGTGTGGTGTGTATACAGCCGTCAGGCTGTTGGTGCTCACCTCTGCGGGTGGCCTCACACCAGTTACGCCTGGGCGTTGGCCGGCGAGCACTGCCATGTAGACATTTTACTTCTCTGTGAAACCAGAGAGCCGTGTGGGACGCGGCAGAACACAGATTGCAGCCTGTCCTCCGTTGGCGTCGTTCCCAGCTGTCCAGAGGCCACCGAGTGTCAGGGCCGTGGAGTCCACGGGGCCGCCGGGTGGGGCATGTGCACCCTGGCGGCTTCGGTGTGGGTCCTGGAGAGAGCTGTCACCTCGTTTCCCAGGAGCAGCAGAAAGGCCCAAAACCCTTGTCCTAGTTAATGTAAGTGTTCTGGAATTGTGTGTCTCGTGTTTTCATGTTCTAGTTGCCAGTGCCGTGCAGGCCGTGGGGTGAAGGGCTGGACGTGGTTTCGGCCAGACGCCCATCCTGACAGCAGCCCCTGAATTTCCCTCCATATGGTTACCTCTGCTTCCTTTGGAAAAAAGACCAGCCTTCCCTTTCTGATGGGGATATTGTTCAGTTTGGTGGATTTCAAAAAGTTTAAATGAAAGAAACTTAAAATAGGACTTTAGAAAGCCAAGGCACTTGCGCTTCAATGTTTTCCTTTTACTGTGGAAAGACTGCTGGGTTTTACAAAATCGTTCACATGCTGATTCATC